GACTAGGAGCCCTGTCCCCCTCTGCCATCCCTTGGGAAGGGGGTACATGACCCCATCCATGGCAGCAGTAGATTTTTACACTCTCTATTCAGCAATGTCAGACCCTGGGGTGCTCTTTAGAAGCTGCTCAAGTGCCATCCCATCAGCAAACAGGGAAAAAGCAGCAACAGGAGGTGAAGCACCACCATTAGTGGCCAAGGTGGTGGGTTTGGATGGTGTCTCTACACCAACAGAGACAGAAAAAGTGGAAAAATAAGGGCCAGGCTCTTTTGTGCAAGAAGCCATCCCTCTCCTTCATGGGGCATGGGATGGAGGTGCCCATAACCACACACAGCCATGGTTACCACAAAGGTAAAACCCTGGAGGCAGCCGGGACATCACATACGGGCCAGGGCTTCTCCAAGAGGGAACGTACCTGGATTTATGAGTCCATGCTCAGCTCTGTACAGAATCACCCCCAAGAGCCCGCCCCATACAGGTTCTCTGTACATAAATCTGGATCTTCCACACACTTCCAGTTCAGCATTTCTGTACATCTTAATAATTCCCAGGTCTCCCACCTCCCCTGCATGAGGGATGTGCTTGGCTCCAGCAGCCCAACAAAGAAAGTCTTAACTCTAAGGCAAAAAAAAAAAAAAAAAAAGAAACTAAAATTCACTATTTTTGTTTAGTCTAGTTTGGAGAACGAACATTACACTGGGCTACTCTTGGGTGAAGCCGAGCAGTCAAAGCCACCAGAACCCAGGACGGCTGCGATGGGGAGTGAAAAGCCTCTTATACCCAGTGCAACAGAACAGGCTGTCAGCTCTCAGCACCAGGATGTCTCAAACCCCCATGGCTAACAGCTTTCCAAGGAAACCTGGGCTATTTTGAGGGAAGCAGAATGCTCACACATTCACAATGCACAAAACCCCCATTTTACCACCCAAAGACAAGGTAACTTTGTCTTGCCAGCAACGTGCAATTCACAGTTAGCTGAGATTTGATTACCTTGGGGACACCATGTCACTCCTGCTGTGGCCAGCCCAAACTATCCCTCCCCTAACAGAGAAATAAGTATTCAGCCAGTCCTGCTGCAAAGCCAGGGCTACACCAGCACAGAAGAAAGGTTAGAAGCATATTTAAACACATGCATTAGATCATCGCCAAAGGTGGGGTGGGGACAATGCGATGTCCTGTCCTCAGGCTGTAAGAGAAGTCGGCAGCTACGGGTGAGCAGAGTCTGCCAGAGCTTCTCATGGTTCATCAGTTCAGTTTGTCCCCAGAGCACCCAGCCATGGGCAGCTCCTCCCTGTCCTGGAGGACCCAGCCACCCTTGGAGAACCCGGCAAGGACAGCGCCACTCTACTGCTCACGAGTGGTGTCATTTAAAGCACACTGAACACAACGCTACAGGAATGCATCCAACCTGCAAGAGGTCTGCAGTGTCCTTCAGCTGACAGACGGGTTTCCAAAGCACCTCCAGCCTCTCCCTAGCACCACAAACGTCAGTGACACCTTGGGTACCTGCCCGCCCAGCACTGGGTTCTGCCACCCTCGCTGCAATGAGCCCTGTACAGTGTACCCATCACCGTGACCATCGGCCTCTTCACATGACTGTTCACACATGCTCTGCCACAACACCCTGCCATGTGTCAGGCTCCAGCTTTCCAAGCTGGTTGCAGGGATGGAGGTGCCTTAGACTACAAGTAAGTGGATGAAAACCCAAAGGCATGTGGTGTGTGATAGACACGTCTACAGCATCACCACACAGCAAAGGCAGTCAGTCTGGGGAGAAGCCTGAAGAGGCCTGATACATTAACAAAACCCACACCAAAAAACACAAGACCCACCATGAGAATAAGAAACAGCTACAGGTGCTGTGCACCACCAAAGCGTAGTTTAAACCTAAGCCTAACATCTTAGTCAGCTGCTCCAGAGTCTGACTTGAGATCCCGACTTCCACGCAAGCCGGCTCACCACACTGCTCACCAGCACTTATCCCACCATACCTGTGATGTGAACCACTCCGTCACAGTGGGACCTGAAGGCAAACAAATTACTCCATCCCATTTCTCTTCCAGCTCCTTTTGCACCCCCTTAGAAAACCAGGTTTCTCTTTGCAAAGCAGTCTCCTCGCATCAAAGCAACTATATTCCAGGGATAGCTTGGTTGAGTTCTGTTTGTTCCCCCTCCCTGCAATGTTTGGAGAGCATCTTTGGCCTCCCACGTAAATTCCAAGTTTCATTTATTAAATACCTCGCTGGCATTTTCTTTTCACTTTCACACTGCTCGTTTAATATTACATTTGACATTCTAAGCTTTACAGATGGCAACAGAAGCAGAATGCCAAATATAGCCTGCCAGGGAGACAGGAGGCTAGAAATAGGCTCCTGAACAACAGCAGCCCCAATACCCTTTGCCTGCCCCCATGTTTTGGGAAATGACAGCATTCAGGAGAAGAGGAGGAGTGAGCTCCAGGCAAGCCAGGGCCCACAGAGCTGTGGATTCTCCATCCCAGCAGTGCAGGGATGGGGCACCCCTTTCCCAGCTCGCTGAGCAAACCTCATCACCTTGAGCTGGAACCTGTCCCCATCACAGCTCAATGTTAGGGGAGGACATGCTGAAAATGAAGCCAGGGTGGTCTCTGGCTCCACAGGCTCCAAGGGCGCTGTGGAAGGTACATCAGTGCCTAACCCTGACCCCCAGACAGGTACGTGTCACCTCTGGCCATCTGCACCAGCTCACGGTCACACGCGCCTGCACAAGCTCTCCTGGCCCTGCATGGGTTTGGTAATTCATCTGCAGGCACATCAGCAAGACGATGAGTCAGTCCCAAGACAGGATCATGTCTCATCTCCTCCCTCGTGGGCTGCTTTTAAAATTAGTGCTGTAGAAGTGACAAGAAGAGAACGTTCACAGCCTCGTGGCACCTGGATCGTGCACCAAGCAGGCACATTTTAATTACCCACAACAACAAAACACCAACAGCCCACGCTGTTTCTTTGGCTCTTTGTGATGTTCCTCGAGTGCCTTTGCCCCATCGCATCCTCCACATTCCCTGCACTGCTGTCACCCTCCTGGGCAGCCTTTCATCTGGGAAGAAATCCTCCCACCTCTCCTCCCCTTGAGGGCTGCGTCAACAGGATTTTTACCACGCATGAGAGCAGATCCTGCTATGAAGCATCAAACAAGGGGTTCTACCCCACTGCTGGCACTGGTTTTGCTGGGCCACACCAGCACCCTGCATCCAGCTCCTCACCAGGGATATACTGGGCAGCACTGATTTGTACCAGGGGAAGGCTGAGCCCATTGTGTGAAGTAACTAAACCCACAGAGCATGACGTGACACGCACCCACCCGTGATGAAGCAGTAGGAGTATCCTGGAGTGTGACTCTGCAGCTCTTCCCTCCCAAGTGACAATCTTACCTAAATTTACATTCCGGGTGCTAATACTCTGTTGCTGGGTCTGTCGGCTGGATGTCGTGGGGGTGGTTGGGGTTTGTTCTTTGTGGTTTATTTTAAGGCAGATTAATGAGCATTTAGTGAGTCTATGCAGGGAAATGAGCCTCCTCCACAACCCACACGTGTCTCAGGCAAGGTGTCGCTGGTGGCAGGCAGGGAAGCAGAGAGGTACTTGGACACGGCAGAGGCAAAGCCTGGGGCACCCATCTGAGGTGGAGCAAGAGGCTTCCTGCAGGGCCAGGGGATCTGCCCCAGCCCTGCCCTGCCATCCCAGCACTAAGCTTGCCAAAGGGACCCTTCCTTTTATTTCTGATGCATATTGCAGTAAGGAACAATATGAGGAATATTATTTCAGTGCCCTGGGAAAAATTAGCAAGTCAAATATTGAATCAGGCCTCCAGCATATGCCAAGGAGATTGCTTTGATCTTATCCACACTAAAAGCTCTATTATTGAATTTAAAGTCTGTGAACACATATCAGACCAATATACAATGCATATCTGAATACACATTTGAGAAGCAAAGGATGTTTTGACAAAGGGAAAAAGAATATTTTAGCTGAAAATATCAAAGTTACTGCATCAATTGAAATACAAACACCCTTTTTCATCTGGCTCAGTGGCTTTACTGACAGGGCAACCCGCAACCTGGGACCTGACTGTCACTTAGGAGAAACTTCACTCCTAGGCTGGGCCTGGGTGGAAAGTGACTGTGGACGTGACTGGTTTGATGGCTCTGCCAACTTCCCAGGGGATGTGGTCCAGCAGCAACGCCAGGGCAGCACCAGGAGCAGTGTGCCAGCACCCCCTGAACCTCATGGAGAAAGCTGTCCCAAAGGGCCACCACCCAGGCATGGCACATGCTGTGACAATGGGCACTGCAGGACAAACCCAACTTACCATTTTATTATTGATTTCGTGGAAATGAATTTCACAGACTTTTTCCACCACGTCTTCATTTTCAAAAGTTACGAAGCCAAATCCTATTTAATAAAGAAACAAGAAGGGGAAGGGGAAAGAAAAACATGAGTTTAGTCCAATTTCACTTCAGTAAAGCATTACTTAGACACTGGGACTTAGGAAAACTTTCCTAAACATACAGGTACATAAATACACTTCCTGTCTATGAAGCTGCTGCTGAATTTGCTCCAAATTAATGGAGGGAAGAAGCATTGTCTCCAGGAAAATGAATATGGTTCTGTTCCAGCCCTTCCATAGGATTTAATGGAGAATTAAAACCTCCTTATGGATTTTTTGATCCATCCTGCAGAATTTAATGGATAGTTACACCCCAGTTACATGATGGCTCAGAAACTACAATAAGGCCATATTTTTTTTCACACCTTATAGGTTTTTAAGAGCAATCTCGACAAAACCCAATTATATTTCTATGGAACCATATTGATTTTATCTCTTGTTTAATTCCAGGGGACTTCTCCATTAGAACTGACTCATTACAAAAGCCAAAGAAATAAAAACACGGGGAGACAGCAGATGATTCCTCATTTAGAGGCAAGGAAAAACCCACCCCAGTGCTTCCCCAAACACACAGCAGCACTTTGTGCTTCCACTGATGGGACACCAAAGGTCCCCAACTGTGTGTGCTGGGGCCAGCAGCGCAGCCACAGCAGCTCCATCTGCACGGATGCAGCTGGCCCCGTGGGGCAGCGGGCTCCGGAGGTGGTTATTTGTCCCTTTCTTCCTGAATTACTTCCTCTAATACCTCATCAGGACATCCTGAGGCCTCCAAGAAACCATTACGTTGAAGGCCTCTGATCTAATCATTCCTCTCTTCTCTGCTGCTGCTTCAAAGGAGCCCTGGATTTGGGCTGGTTTAGGGCCGTTTGATACCTGCTGCCTGCCTGTAGCTGTACATGGGATTTGCTCTGCTGGGGCCACATGAAAGAAACCTGGCAGCCCACCACGGCTATACACAGTCATGCTCCTGAACAGAAAAGACAAACCAAGCTAACAAACAAAACCCAACCCAATGTGCTACGTTTCTGGCAAAGGCTTGATGAGTGAGTCAACACTGACACCAATTACACTAATGAAAACTTAACAATGTGACAACAAGATGCACTTCATCCTCCAGACTGCGCTGGAAACTCCCATGGTGGAGATTCCAACACTGTTTCCAACACTGGTGGAACAGCACCTGATGTCTTCCTCACACCAGGCTCCCAGCCAAAGGAGCAGAGCTGGGGCATCCCCAGCAGCACCCCTTACCCCTGGAAAAGGAAGGAACCCAATGCTTCCCGGTGTTATTGTCCACATATTCCATGGATAGTTCTGCATTGTGAGCATCCCCCCACTCAGCCATGCACAGCATTAGAGTGGTTTGTCTTTGCTGATTCCCATCTGCATGTCCATCCATCCCGGTCCCTCGGCTGTTTGGGAACACAGCAGTGCCCATGGCCCACTTCGCTATGGACAATTCCCATCTGCAATTACCACCAGCATTCCAACAGCAACCTGCTCCCCCCAGCAGACCCAGAGCTCCCAGTAAGTACCCAGCAACTCGCACCTTCTGTGCCGGGGTCCCAAAGCAACACTTCATCATTCCAAACACACACACACAATTTGCTGCAATGGGGCACAGCAGAAATATTAAACTATAAGGGGTTTTTTTTTAGCAACCTACAGGTACAAGATGTATTTTGCAGGCTACAGTATTGGAAGCTGTGAAGTACATTTCAAGGTGAGGTCTGAACAGCTCCCAGACAGGTTGTTTGGGAATGCACAGTATGTGTAGCAACAGGGAATGCTCCCATTCCTCTTTGGACCCTCTTATTGGGGGAAAAGCCACCAGAAGTGGTTTCTAGAGCTCCTCAAAGGCAAAGGACACCATCCAGCAGCACATCAGCCTCAACCCCAGCACTCAGAACATTATTTTCCTTTGCACTTAAAGCATGTAGCAGCTTGAAGTATTTTACTTCACTCCAGTCCTTCTAAATTACTCCATTTAAACCTACCCGAAACAGACCTGTAGTTAAACTAGAATGTTTGTGGTTACTGCCTGCACACGGCATCCCAGGAATCCTGGAGCACACGGCACTGGAGCTGGGATCAGCACCTCGCCAGGGACCAGCAATGGGACCTGTCCAGGGCTACAAGTCATTACTTGCTCGAGCACCAGCAACATCTTCATCATTAGCAGCTCATTAGCGAGTTCTGCAGTTGAGGGTTTCTCTTTCAACTTTAGGCAGGTCTCAGTGCCAGGATGGAGGGGAGAGAGGGAATTTAGAGGAAATTAGGCTTAATATGCCTAACACGGCCAGAAAGCTCACTGCAGTCATTACAGATTTGGACTCAGGAAAGAAGTTTCCCATTCTCATCCCACTCCATATGGCTTAAACACAGGTTTATCAAGGAGTTATTGGATTACATCGGATCCCCACCCAGCTTTCTCCATTACAGATTTCATCACAAGAATAAAATAACAACCCCTTGGTGTCAACATTCTTTTGCAGGTCTTTAGAAGATCCGTGCCACTTCCTCACTGGCCAGTCTAGCTGGCTTGGCAAACAAAAACATGGGATGGGGTCTGTAAGGAAACCCAACTCCATCTTTTATACCTTCCAGCAGCGCACAGGGCACTCAGTCCATAGCCCAAGGCTCATGGTATTTTACCTTTACTATTACCAACATCTTAACTGGTTGGGAAGCAACAAGAGGATCTTAACCTGCGCACATACAGGCACTTTAAATCCATCGGATGCTATTCAAGAGATGCCGTCACTCCTTCAGTCCCCAGGAGACCATATGGCCCCGAATGAAAAACTTCATAAAAGTGATGGGTAATGGGTCACTTTTTGACTCAGTTTCCAACTTGTAACAGTTGCACACACCCCCCCCCCCATTACTGTCTGCATGCCTTAAGAGTTAGCACAATGAATACATGCTCGTTTTTAAATTACCAAAACTCTCAGGAACCTTCCTGGACTGAACAGACAATTATTTCTTCTGAGAGGTACTAAGAGTCAACAAAAAAAAATGGTTCTGGGAAAGTGTATGAAAAAGATTAACACAAAACAAAGGCGGCTCTTTAAAATGGTGACAGAAATAGGATTCCGGTTGTCAAGGAGCACCCATTTAAAAATGAAATTATACCGCATCCTTCTGAATGAAGCTATTATTGGAAGCTAACAAGCTCTATTTAAGAGATAAGCATTTAACAGAGTCAAACGGTTGGGTTTTTTATTCAAATGAATAAAACTGAATATTCATTTGAATAATCTTTTCTGGAAAAGAAAAGACAAGGAAGAGAGAAAAAATAAAGTAAGAGGCAAACAGATGCCCCCCAAATGAGAGGCTTCAAGCCAAACCTGATCACTGAAGGAAGCCGAGACCTGTATTCACGACCTTCACTTTAAAACCCTTCCTTTAGCATCGGCTCAGAAAACGGAGTCATTTCACCCTATTGATGTGCTGGTTGGGCACTGCCAGGCACCCAGACAGTGTACGAGGACCACCCCGAGCCCGCAGGCTGGGAGTGAGCCCGTGTCCGAAGGGAGAGGGTTTGCTCCACCCCAGCACTTCTGCTGGTTGCATCCAGCCTGACCTCGCTGCCTCCTGTGGCAGCAGGGTTCAGCGAGACGATGGCTCCTTCCAGCATCCCAGCTCTGCTCCAGCCTGGTCCAGCTGTGGAGCTGCTCCTGCCCACGGCAACACACAGTGAACAAGAGTCCCCTGCTTCACATGGACTTATTTTACTCACTAATCTGCTAATGAGAAGCTGAAATACTTGGGGGTCAGTTACCAGAGGATGCAGCTGCCTTCAGTTGATGTACCCCAAACTGAAGGCGCTTGGTACCTCGCAGACCAGGTCGCTTTTGGGCTGGCTGCCTGCAGAACAGGACTTTGCGAACAGTGACTCACAAAAGGGGATTTCTTCACTAGGAAACAGCATTATTCACAGGGGAGGGAAAATCAGGGTATTTCTTAGCACAAGGCAAGATAGTCTCAAGTATCCAAATAACTCCGAGTTCCCCAGAAAACGTTTACAATGAGCCTACAGACACAACCCAGACACTTGACATCCGACGGTGCAGGACACATCCTCTGATCCACCTTGGTTACACCAAAAAGCCTCTTTGATGCAGAACCTTGTTCAGCCAGGAAAGCTGAACAGTGTTGGGCTCTGGGCAGTGAAGCAGAGCTCAGCTGCAGCACTTTCTGCTGTGGTATTCCAGAAATAAGAGAAACATTGTTCAGAGAAAGTGACTGAAACCATCAAAAGATTAAAATGATTTTAAAAACACTGGATAGAGGCCATAAATAATATTAAGCACCATGCTGGAGATACCAAATGTCAGTGCTCCTGTGTTCTGCATTTTGGGTTTTTTCACACTTAAACCAACTATATTTCACACCTTTGTCATCGCTTGAGAGGTTTTATGTCAACCTCAGTAAAATATAGCTGGGATGACGACACCATTGCTATGAAATATATCTACTTTCTCTTGCTTGCTGGCAGCAACTTTTCCACAGCCTGAGTTTTAGCTGTGTGCTCAGCGTTATATATCGCAGCTGCATTTGCACACAGAGGACATCACCCATCAGGAGAATCACATGAAAGCAGCTTACCAGGTTAAAGGTCTTGCTCTTTCAAGCCCGTGCAGGCATTTAAACAAGGAAAACAAGGTGATTGCATCCTGCACCAGAAAGGTTAAACCTCGGTTAATGCTGGGGTGAGCCTCTGATGGGCTCTGATGGACAAACAGGCACCCCTGAGTCAAACCCACTGTTACTGGAGGCACGTACACACTGCCCACAGTGCAGGCACTGCTGCTCTGAGCAGAGGCTCTTCAGCCACCAGTAAAGATGCTCTGGGGGCGAAGGCACTGGGACTTCTGGAGGAGTCTGATTCAGCTCTCAGGCTGTCCTGGGGTCACCTGATGATGTGCAGAGAGTTGCTTCGTCTCATCTGCAGTGCTCCTCTTCAGCCAGGCTGAGTCTGTATTGTCTGGTGAGCCTGCAG